ATGAGAGAAGATTCTCTTTACAGAATTATTTAAATTAATAAACAATGAAGGAATAATAGAACATGATCACTTTGCAAAGAGATGAATTATTGGATCTGTGCCATAATTAACAATGGCTGATAACATCACAAAAAGAGAGACAATCACACATTATGTATCCCTGATGGATGCACCCAATAACACCTATGAAACACTCTTGCTAAAAAACTAAACTAAACAAATCTAACCAGAATCTGATCAGGCATCAGCAAACAAAGAAACTTGTTAAACAACTTCACAGGGATGCAATTTTGAAAACATACATCATGGGAAATTCTACAAAACAATCTGGTTTCTTCAACAACAACACTGCAAGGAACAAAGCATACAAAGGGATGGAAGTGTAATCTGCAAATCACAGACCTAAGAGGCACATTAACCAATGCCAGTGCGTGAACCTTATTTGAATCTGGATTCAAACAAATAAACCGCTATTGGTTCTATTCCTCTGGAGAACGCTGACTAATACAGCGATGGTAAGGTGTTGCAGTTATATTTAAGAGTGCTCATCCTTTAGAAATACATATATGAAATACAGATAAAATGATATGATGTCTGACATTTGCTTCAGAATAATCTTAGGATGGAAGGAAATGGATAAAGATTTAGATGAAACAGATTGGCTATCTGTTGGTAATTGTTAAAGCTGGGTGATGAAAGCATGGGGTTTCCTCATGGTATTCTCTCTGCTTTTGTATATGGTTACAGTTTTCTTTAGTAAAAAATTAAAAAATGGAAGAAAATGAAAAATAGGAAATTGAAAAATAGTAGTAGTGTTGGGGAATTACTTTTTCTCATAACAACTACTGTAGAATCATTTGACTCTTTATAATATGTGTATGTAAAACTAAGTATCTTTTAAAAATTAAAAAGTGAAGAGAACCTACCATAAATATAACATGTAATGGTGAAACTTTAGGTGCATTCTCATTAAATGTAGAAACATCAATGATGCCTGCTCTTTGACATTGTACTAGAGTCTTAACCTTTGCAATAAGACAAGAAAAAGATGAGCTAAATAGAATGGGAGAAAAAAAAATTATTGTTGTTTGCAGACAATACTGTGTGTATAGATAATCCAAAATTATTTACAAGCTGCAGGAAAACTGCTGGATATAAGAGCAAGACACAAAAATCAACATTGTTCCCATATACTGGCAATAACCAGTAGTAACTAGAAAATGTGATATAACAATATTATATACACAATGGCAACAGAAACTGTAAGATACACAGAAATAAATCTATCAAAAGGTGGGAAGACATTTTTGAAGAAAATTATAAAACATTATTGAGGGACATAAGAATAGACCTGAATGAAATCATAAATATATTAATTATCTCCCAAATTAATCTCTAAAGTCAATGCCTCAAACCAAAAGCTCAACAACAGAACTTTTTTGGAACTCAATAAACTGATAACAAATTTCACCATTTCAAAATTGTGAGAAACATTTAAAAAATAAGAACAAAGGGAGGCTTGTTTTTACCAAGTATTAAGGCTCATTAGAAAGCTGTTGTACATAAGATAGTGAAATATTGGGACAGGGATAGAAAAATAAATTAATAGAATAGGCCAGAGATTCCAGAAATAGCCTCACATGAAATTTGAAATAATATATTATACAGATGATAGTTGAAAAATGATGGACAATTCAATAAATGGAGTAATTGGTTTGCCCTGCTGGGGAAAAAATGAAGTTAGAGTCTTACTCCACACATAACACAAAAATAAATTCCAGATGGATTAAAGCTCTAAATATGAAAAACAAAAGTTAAATTTGTTAGAAGAAAATACAGGGGGAAATATTTCCATTCTCAAAGTACAGAACACAAGACACAAAAAGCCAAAATAATAAAAGGAGGAATTGATTGCATTATAAATTAAATTTTCTGTGTAACAAATGACCCCATCCAAAGCAAAAAGATAGTGACAGATTAGAGAAGATATTTTCCAACATATCAGAATATATAGAGGTCCTACAATTTGATAAGGAAAACAACCTAATAAAAAGTTGAGCAGAAGATATGAATGATTTACAGAAGAGAAAATCCAAACAACAAATAAATACAAGGAAAGATAAAATACTTAGTAATCAGAGAAATAAAAAAGAAAAATGAGATGCTATTTTACACCTATCAGGTTGATAAAAATTAAAAAGTTTGAATGTGAAGATGTTGGGAAACTGAAATGCAGCTGGTTGGACAACTAATTTAGTACAACTAATTTAGAGATAAAATTCAGGATATGGTCCTATTTAGTTGAAAACTTATAAATTATATGACACAACAATACTTATACTCAGCATATACTTCTAGATATACACCTGGGAGAAATTCTGACACGTGAACACAAACAGGCATATGAGAACATTCCCTGTAGCAGTTAAAAATGAATGAACTAGATCTACCCTATGTATCAGCATAGACAGATGTCAAAAATAACGTAGAATTTATTTTTTTATTTATTTTTGGAGATGGAGTTTTGTTCTTGTCATCCAGGCTGGAGTGTAATGGCCTGATCTCAGCTTACTGCAACCTATGACTCCTGGGTTCAAGTGATTCTCCTGCCTTAGCCTCAGCTGGGATTACGGGTGCCCGCCACCACGCCCAGCTAATTTTTGTATTTTTAGTAGAGATGGGGGTTTCACCATGTTGACCAGGCTGGTCTCAAACTCCTTACCTCAGGTGATCCACCCACCTCGGCATCCCAAAGTGCTGGGATTACAGGCGTGAGCCACCACGCCCGACCATAATGTAGAATTTTAAAAGCGATTTCCAGAATAGTACAATGTATCATTTATTGGGAGTAAGAGAATGGGGACAAACATAGACAGCTGTTTTGAGAAGTGCTGCTGTGACATGGTAGGGATTGTAACAGCTGGAAGTGGGAGTATAGTGGCTGAGGAGAGTTATAATTTTTTTTTTTTTTTTAATGAATGTTACTAGAGCTTGTTTGCAAATGGGTGGGAATGATCTGGTAGAGAGACTGAAAAATCACCTACAAAGAGCGAAATCCTTTGGAAGGTGGAAGCTTGGGCTCCAAAGCACAAAAGGAGGATGCTACTACACTTTAGGCAGCTAAATGGTAAGTGGCCATGGGATGGAATGAAGGCGCTGAATTTGTAGGCTGTTGCAGAGATAGAACCTTCAAGAAGTAATGCTAATTTGCTGTCTGGTGACATTGTAAAGGGGAGTCTGGTTAAAAGGCAGGACAAAGGCCAGACGCGGTGGCTCATGCCTGTAATCCCAGCACTTTGGGAGGCAGAGGCGGGTGGATCACCTGAGGTCAGGAGTTCGAGACCAGCCTGGCCAAAACGGTGAAACCCCGTCTCTACTAAAAATACAAAATTAGCTGGGCTTGGTTTGATTGCCTGTGAACCCAGCTACTTGGGAGGCTGAGATCGTGCCATTACACTCCAGCCTGGTGACAGAGCAAGACTGTCTCAAAAAAAAAAAAAAAAAAAAAGGCGGGACAAAAGGACCTACCTATGGTCACAGACTCTGCCCTTTCTGAGAGTCTGGGACCTTGCTATTGTCGCTCCTAACCTCTAATTTGCTCCAGGGAGAGTCCTAATAGTCCATCTGGCATACTGAAGATGATGTGAATTCCACAGCCAACACCACACAACACCTTCTCTATTGAGCTGTAAGCTGCCTCTGGACTGAATGGGGTTTTGTTTTTATTCTTACCCTCAACACCAGTGCCTCTCACACAGAATTTAGCCAAGCCAGTTAGGTGCTAAGCGCTGCTGCTGCGCTATCAGAACGGCACACGAGGCTTGTTCTAGACCGGCCTCTGCTGCTTACTCGTTCAGTAATCTTCTTAGAGCAAGTTCTTGAACTTCTCTGGGCCTGTTTTCTACCTTGCAGGGTGGTTAACTGCGTTTAGGATCTTGGAAGCACCTAACGCAGGAAAAGCACATAAGCCAGAAGTCTCTTGGGGACGCAAATACCAGGAATTTCTCCCGCTGTCCCCGTGGGTCAAGCGCACCAGGGTTCTCAGGTCTAGCTCCTTCTACCCCCCACGTCCACAAATATCCTCACTTTTTCTTACTCTCCCTATGCCTCGCAGTCCCTCAACAGGGTCTGCGATCAGACGTCACTCCCAGGTGACTGCCAATCAGGCATGCATGCCTAGCCAACCTGGCCATCCTTGAAGATTGTGGATCCTTCACCGGCTAGCCGGCTGGCAGGGGGCGCGCCAACAGAGCCGCCAGCCGAAGTGCCCCTGCGTGGGTGGGAGGAGTAACCGCCTCTCACCAACCCACAGGGATGACTCCACCTGTGGAGAGACAGCCCGAGAGTTCCAGGGTGAGTGCGCATTGGAGCTTATCTGCCTGCCTGCCTGCGGGTCGGTGGATCCTGCCGGCTGCTGGGTGCTGGCTTGCGTCGCCTGCTTGTCTCGCTCTCTGTCCCTCGTCCGCTACCCACTCTGGCCCCCCTCCCTCCAGCAGCCGGCCTGTTGGTCCTCCAGCCGGGTGGTTGCCTGCGAGCTTCACTCCGCCCTCTTCTGCTGGAGCCAACTGGCGAGCCGCAGGCCGCCGGGCTCGGCCTGAGAGCCCATAAAACCCCACCCGGCAGCTCCGCTGCGCTCCCGCCGCTGCTCACCAGGCAGAGCCAGCGGGCTTGGCTGGGACTTCCAGCCCTGAGCGCGACACCGACAGCCCCGGACCGCGCCTCCAAGCAGGCTGAAGGGCTTCCGCTCTTGGCTTCCAGAAAAGTTTGGAGAAAGTGAATTTGAGGTTGATTGGAGAGTGGTAGCCTCTCCCCAGCCTTCTTTCCCTTCCAGAAGCCTCACTCTGCACAGCCTCCCCCATTCTTCCCGTCCTGATTCCCTGTCTTCCTGACCCCTCCTTCTCTCTCTCCTGGGTCCCCCTCTCCTCACTGGGATCAGCGATCGCAGTCACATTGTCTCCTTCCATATTTTATCCTCCCTCCTCCTCTCTATCCCTGTCCTCTGAACGATTTCCAACTATTTGCAAGCCTTCTGCCTGTCATTCTCACGCTTCTCCTTTCTCTCCGCCTTCAGCCTTCCCTTTGCCACTCCATTTTATCCATCAAACCTCTCCACTTGCATCCACATCCTCCCTCCATCCTCCCTCCATCCTCCCCTCCCAGTATACCTTGCTCATGGATTCTGGGCCTCTGTGGGATGCCAACCCCACTCCCTGGGGCACCCTCTCTGCCCCCAATGCCACAACACCCTGGTTGGGCCGGGATGAGGAGCTGGCCAAGGTGGAGATCGGAGTCCTGGCCACTGTCCTGGTGCTGGCCACTGGGGGCAACCTGGCTGTGCTGCTGACCCTGGGCCAGCTGGGCCACAAGCGCTCCCGCATGCACCTGTTCGTGCTGCACCTAGCCCTGACAGACCTGGCTGTGGCGCTCTTCCAGGTGCTGCCCCAGCTGCTGTGGGACATCACCTACCGTTTCCAGGGCCCTGACCTCCTGTGCAGGACCGTCAAGTACCTGCAGGTGCTCAGCATGTTCGCCTCCACCTACATGCTGCTGGCCATGACGCTGGACCGCTACCTGGCTGTCTGTCACCCCCTGCGCAGCCTCCAGCAGCCCGGCCAGTCCACCTACCTGCTCATCGCTGCTCCCTGGCTGCTGGCCGCCATCCTCAGCCTTCCTCAAGTCTTCATTTTTTCCCTGCGGGAGGTGATCCAGGGCTCAGGGGTACTGGACTGCTGGGCAGACTTCCGCTTCCCTTGGGGGCCACGGGCCTACCTCACCTGGACCACCCTGGCTATCTTTGTCCTGCCGGTGACCATGCTCACAGCCTGCTACAGCCTCATCTGCCATGAGATCTGTAAAAACTTAAAAGTCAAGACACAGGCCTGGCGGGTGGGAGGAGGGGGCTGGAGGACTTGGGACAGGCCCTCACCTTCTGCCTCAGCTGCCACCACTCAGGGGCTGCCATCTCGGGTCAGCAGCATCAACACCATCTCACGGGCCAAGATCCGAACTGTGAAGATGACCTTTGTCATCGTGCTGGCCTACATCGCTTGCTGGGCTCCCTTCTTCAGTGTCCAGATGTGGTCCGTGTGGGACGAGAATGCCCCTGATGAAGGCAAGTGGGGTCTGTGTGGGGGCAGTGAGGTGGGAGAGACAGGAAGAGAGGATGGGGGATTAGGTCAGGGTTACAGTGCCTCCCAGGGCCAGGCAGGTGACAAACTAGTGGGACAATGAAGAAAGATGGTGCCTCCTCCAAGTGAAAAGGGGCAGTTATGACTACCCTACCAATGCCATGTCAATACCCATCCAGCCTACCAATGCCATGTCAGTATCTTTTATGTGAAATTTCCAGCTTTAAAAATTTTGGTAACTAGCAATTTTAAAATGCTGTGTGGTACTAGTGAAATATGGCCATTAGCACATTTGGCCACCAACTACCAATTTGCTGGATGGGCTTTAAAATCATAGAATGATAGCAATTTGTAGCCCATGAACTTGCTCTCTCAGCCTTTTCCCTCCTGCACCTGGACATGCCTATGAGCTCCTTCTCAACAGACACTTCCAGTTAATTAGAGTTGGCACATGAAAACCCTGAAATTTCCAGTTCAACCTCTTCATGTTACTAATAAGGAAACAGAGGCTCAGAGAGGAAATGTTACCAGCTGATGTGGTGAAGTCCCGGATTCTTGGTGCCACAAACAAAGAATTGGATGTGACACACACAAATAGCAAAGTAGCAAAAGTTTATTAAGCACAGTAACACTCTCGGAGAGGGGAGAGCGGGCTGACCTCTGTGAAATGAGATCGGCATCAGTTTGGTGTACTTTGGGCCTTTTTATATGTTCTTTTTTTTCTTTTCCCTGAGTTGCTTAATCTTTAGCCAGCATCTGCCTTTTGGTAGGTGGATTGCTTAGTTACTTTGGCCCTTGTGCACTTGCACGTGGCCTTCATCTCAATTTTAAGTGCATGTATTCTATGCAGTACCTATGCATGAGCTTTAATGAGCTGATTCTTATATGGGGTCATTTTAGGGATACTTTTTCTCTCTAACACACATGCCCATCTCTGAGGTGCTGCCCCTTACTGGGTTGGTCTGGATCTAGCCAACCAAGGGGCTCTTGACTCACTTCATATAACTTTTGTTTTGGCTCAACCTCTGCTTTTTATCTTGCCTCTTGCTCACCCTCCTCTTTATCCTGCTTCTGCTCCTACTCATTCTGCTTTTTATCCAACCTCTAATTCCCTCTGCTGTTTTCCTGCCTCAGAACCATGACTTGCCCCAGGCCTCACAGCTAGGGAGTGACAAAGTGAAGAATAAAGCCCAAGTCTTCTGTCTCCTTGTCTTTTTCCTCAACCTCATTAATAACTCTGATTTTAAAAGTGGTTATAAAAGGAGGGAGACCTTTCTTCTGTGTGAAAAGCAAAATGGGAACCTCTCAGAGGACTGTGCTCCAGCTGGCACATGGGAGGCCTGGCTCTCATCATTTTTCTGAGAAATGAAATAGAGGAGAGATGAAATAGAGGAGAGCCATTCATGAATTTAACACAACCATGCAAGAGAAGTGCAAAAGTAATACCAAACTTCCTTCTTAATACAATATCCCTTCTTAATCACCCTTTTGACATTGTCTGGGCAAGAGACTATTTGCAGATTATCCTTTAAGCAATGAGCATATTAATTCTAACCAACTGTGGGGACCTCCCTGCTCTAGCCAAGCACAGAATAGAAGGAAGGAGGGTTTCCTAGGTACAGGCACATTCAGCCCTCATGCTACTGAGGAGTGGCCTTCTGTATTTTACATTTGAGTCACTTGAGACTCATAGAGGTAAAATAACTGGTCCAAAATGCCACTGTCAGTGAGAGACAGAGCTCGGGCTTGAATTGAGGTCTTTATGGGCCAAGCTTTATCCAGGTCATGGCTTTACTCCCAACATTGTGGCTTAGCCAGTGGCACCGGGGTGAGATGGTCATCTGCCTCTTTATTGAGGAGAAGATGGTGCTTCTGCCACTTAGCCAGTGCAGACTTTCCTACTTGCCCATGGTGTCCACCATCATCACCAACCTGTCCCTCAACACCTCAGCCCTCACTTGAGTACTGTGATTTACCACTTACCAAGGACTTATTTGGGCAAGGAATGCATGGGACAGTGGGTTGTCCCAAAGAGTTATCTTACAGACAATGTGCTCCCAGAAAAATGAAAGCCCTTGGGGCAGAAATTCATTACTTTAAACTTGCTTTCCAGTACACAAAGTTCCCCTCCATCGTATTCTGGCCTCCAGGCCCCCTGGCCCCAAGTCTTTGGTCAGAGCCTGCCTGTTTCCTTGTCCCTGCCCCTGTCCCCGACCATCAGTTGAGTTTCTGGCTAGAGGCAACGAAGGCCAGGACTGGGTGTGATGTATCTACCCTCAAGGGCTGGGAAGCGCAACCGCCACTGCCTCTGGCACCTCCTCTGCAGCACTGCCTCTGTGGCATATCTCTAGCCCCTACCAAGGCCTGGCTCAGGTGAGCCAAACCAAACAGGCACTCCTAAATGAAGGAAACTGTGGAACTCCTTTGTCCCTGGCTTAATCTTGGACACTAAAGGCACATTGATGGAGCAGACAGGATGAATACTGTCCCCTCAGCCAAAGCCACTTCCCAAATCTTCCACAATTTGTAGTTACACATTAACTAGGGAGCAGGCCAGAACTCAGGCAAAACGGAAGGAAGACTGAGTTTGTTTTTGAGGCTTGTCCCTTGTATTAGTCCATTTGCACTGCTATGAAGGAATACCTGAAACTGAGAAATTTATAAAGAAAAGAGGTTTATTTTGGCTTACGGTTCTGCAGGCTGTACAAGTAGCATGGTGCCAGGCTGGGTGTGGTGGCTCATGCCTGTAATCCCAGCACTGTGCAAGGCTGAGGCAGGGGGATCAATTGATTCCAGGAGTTCAAAACCAGCCTGGGAAACAGTGAAACCTCATCTCTACTCAATAGGAAAAAAATTAGCCAGGCATGGTGGCACACTGGTTCACCCCTGTGGTCCGATCTACTGAGGAGGCTGAGGTAGAAGGATTGCTTGAGCACAGGAGCCATAATCACACACTGCACTCCAGCCTGAGGGTCAGAGCGAGACCCTATCTCAAAAAGAAAATAAAAAAGAAGCATAGTGCCAGCGTCTGCTTCTAGTGAGGGCCTCAGGAAGCTTCCAATCATGGCAGAAGGTGAAGGGGGAAGCCAGCATATCACATGGCAAGAGAGGACAAGAGAGAGAAGAGAGAGGTCCCAGATTCTTTCAAACAACCAGATCTCATGTGAACTAACTGAGCGAGAACTCATTACCAAGCGAATGGCGTTAAGCCATCTATGAGGGATCCACCCCTGTGATCCAATCACCTCCCATCAGACCCACGTCCAACACCGGGGGTTACATTTCAATATGAGGTTTGGAGGGCACAAACATCCAAACTCTCTCTCTCTCTGTCTCTCTCTCTCTCTCTCTCTTTCTTGAGATGGAGTCTTGCTCTTGTCACCCAGGCTGGAGTGCAATGGCATGATCTCAGCTCACTGCAATCTACCTCCCAGGTTCAAGCAATTCTCCCGCCTCAGCCTCCCGAATAGCTGGGGCTACAGGTGCCCATCACCACGCCTGGCTAATTTTCTGTATTTTTAGTAGAGGCGGGATTTCACCATGTTGGTCAGGCTGGTCTTGAGCTCCTGACCTCAGGTGATCCACCCACCTTGACCTCCCAAAGTGTTGGGATTACAGGCATGAATCACTGCACCTGGCCGACATCCAAACCATATCATCCCTCCTCCACTTCCAGGTGCTCCCACTCTACCTTCACTTCTGTTCCCTGAACCAGTCCACCCAGGCCCAGGTACCTTCAGCTTCCCACCTGTATGACTCATGCCCTCTATCAAATGTTCTCGGCCTATGTCTTCCCTTCTCTTGAGCCATGAGTTGCCACACCCATGAGCATGTCCCTGGGACATGTGCACAAGGAGTCAGTGTACCTGAAGCTTTCACAGTGCCTTGCAGAGTAGGCACTTGAGCTTTGCCTTTTATTTTGCTGGTTGAAGCTCTGATGGAGTATAGGATCTCTACCCTGGAGCTGAAAGACTTCGAGTTGCAGCTGTTATTAACTGTGCTATAAAAACTAGAAAACTTACTTCTAAGGTTCCTTCCAGTTCTGAAACTGCTTTCACTGATTCTACAACCTCCACTGAAGAGTAAGGTGACTCAGTATGCCACCTATGCCATGGCTATAACCATGACAGATCTAGCAGGAGGCCAGAGCTCATCCCAGCAGCTTTCCTGTTGCCATGAGGGTTTCATTTAGTCTTTAGAAAGAACGTTTTGTCTGGAAGGAATCTTATAGCCTTGGCATCCTCACATTTTGACTGCCCAAGAGAGAAATTAGTTTTTCCCTACAGAAAGGTACATTTCCTAGGCACAATCTAAGAACACAGAACAAGTTCTGGTCTGGAGAGGGATGCTTGGAGACCCAGTACGTAGCAGCTGCCCCCTCAGCTGCAGGCAGCAATGATGACATAGGTGTCTATAGGGCATTCATGCTCCATTGACTGCCCCATCAGATCCCCAGCATTGGGCCAGGCAGAGTCGATGCCCACACACTCAATGACTGAATATAGAATGAGTGGGCCTGCCCCTGAGGAATGGAAGGGGACAGAGTCCAGGAGGCCATGTGAATCCATGATCTATGATGTAAGTGGGGATGGAGATGGATGAGGCCTGAGCTTGGTTATTTTCCCTGCCTGTTTTACAGAAGTTGTCTCATTCTAGGTCTACATCCATTAGGGGACTCAAGGTCTAAGTTTTGTAAAAAAGTTGGTTTCTCCTATCTGGGCTGATCCTATCCCTGACAACATTCCTTCTTCTCAATTAAACTTGAAGCAAACCTCAGCTCCTACCTTCACCCTGCAGTTACACAACAAAAACGAACAAACAAAATCAGCATGGTAAGACTCTGGAGCCAGGAGTCCCAGGTTCAAGTCTCAGCTGTGTGTCTCTCTAATTATAGGACCCTGAGTGACTCCCTTCTCTTCTCTAGGACTCAGTTTCCTCATCTGTTCCTCATCTGTGGGGCCTGGACGCTCTCCCGGGTCCCTCCGAGCTGCCATTCTGAGGCTTCTCATGCTTCTCTCTTGGTAGATTCCACCAATGTGGCTTTCACCATCTCCATGCTTCTGGGAAGCCTCAACAGCTGCTGCAACCCCTGGATCTACATGGGCTTCAACAGCCACCTGCTACCGCGGCCCCTGCGTCACCTTGCCTGCTGTGGGGGTCGCCAGCCCAGGATGTGCCGGCGGCTCTCTGATGGCAGCCTCTCGAGCCGCCACACCACGCTGCTGACCCACTCCAGCTGCCCGGCCACCCTCAGCCTTAGCCTCAGCCTAACCCTCAGCGGGAGGCCCAGACCTGAAGAGTCACCAAGGGACCTGGAGCCGGTGGATGGGGAAGCCACCGAGGAGACCATCATCTTTTAGGAAAGACTCGCTGGGGTCTGGCACTGCCCCCAGGACTAGTGGAGGTTCTCTGCCAACCTCGGGCACTGGTCATGAGAGCTGGGACGGTGAGGGTTGGAGTTAGAGGAACCCTGTCTGAAGCGGGGTGAAAAGGCCAGAGTGGGCTCCCTATCCTGGTGTCACAGCTGCCCCGAGAGTGAGGGCTGCCTCATGAGCTCCCAATCTCAGACGCTGGCAGTCAGGGAGAATCAAACTGCCAGTCTCCCTGGTCCTGCCATATTCACAGGGTGTCCATGCACACATGGTGTCCCAGATCTAGGCAGGCCTAGGATGGTGCCGTCTAGGGATCCACAGGGGGCAGGAACCCAGAGGTTGGCCTTGTGCCCTGGCTACCTGTCTCCATTCTAACCTGACTGGCACATCTCAGCCTAACCAGGAGAGGGGAGAAGTGAAAAACTGGGAGGAGGACTCTATTTGGATCTCGGATTTTTTTTTTTTTTTTTTTTTTTTTTTTTGGTAGAGAGAAAATGGTTTCATGAAGAAAAGTGAATGAGTATGTAGGGCTTACCCTGTTGTGCCCAGCTGTCTGTTGAGGGGAGGTGGTCTCATGGAGATGCAGGATTCAGTACAGTACTTGGTACCTAGCAGGATCTCTGCAAATGCCAGTTCCTCCTCTCCCCATGCCACCCCCTATGACAGCGTGGATGACAGGAGAAAGTGTTGTCTATTCTCTGTGGTCTGGTCCACTGTGAGTGTGGGTGGGAGGAAAGCGGGAGGGAAGCAGAAGATGAAAATGGTCATCATAAAATTAACAGCAGGAATAAGCCTCAAGGGCAGCAGGGACTTGTTGCCCTCCCTCCTTTCCCCAACCCACCCCCCAGGGAGTCCAGCCTGCTCCTTCCTCAGGGGCTACAAACAGGGGACCTCCTTTGAGAAAAGGTGACATCGTCGTGGCTCTGGACACCCTCCAGGCTCTTCAGAGCTTCCCCCATGAATCGTATGGATGCTGTGATCCAGTTAGGAGCCTAGGTTTGAATCTCAGTTCTGCCTTCAGTATCTGTGTGACCTTGGGTGAGTCACCATACATTTCCAGGACTCAGTCTCCTCACCTGTATAACAGGTGAGATGATCTCTAAGCTCCAACCTTCCATGATTCTGTAATCCTGAAAATGGTGTTACAGAGAAACACAAAGGATATTGTAAGCAACAGGGTCTAGAAGAGTTGTTGCATTTTTATGACAATGACATTGATATACTCTTTGACTCAATTCTGGTGATGGTGGGTCCCCTCATGGTCATACTGTCCACTTTTGTCCTCATCTGGGATGCTGAATCCTCCTCCAAGGCTGGGAGAGGCTATAGGCCAAGGGAGAGTCAAGGTAGACTTTCTGGACTCCAGGGGACTTTTATCATGGGGTAGCTTCCCCCCTCCCCCGCCAGTTCTGATTCCAATTGAAGAGAGAGCCTTGCTGGTGGAAAAGACATCAGCTGAAACGTCAGGGGAGCTGTATCCTGGTTCTGCCACCAGCAATGATACACATCAATAAAATGCTGGCCAGTCCTTACTAGCTGGGTTCTGGGAATCAAATAGGACTGTGGATATCAAAGTCGTTTGTAAAGTCATGGGCTCTATACTAATGTAAGGAATTACTAATCTAATTAAAAACTCCTGAGGGAAGCTCTAGGGAACACTTTCGGTCTCTACCCTTGACTCCCAGGGAAGCTTTGAGGAATGACTGTGGCTTTGCGGATATACTTCTTTAAGAGGCCACTCAGCTCTAAGAAGCCTCCTGAGGCTTTCTAAAAAGAAAAGAGCCTTGCTGAATGTTGTGAGTGAGCAAAGCATCCCAGTCCTTCAGTGCTAGAGAACTGGAGAGTGAGACCCTAATGGGACCAAGGCTCAGGCATATGGGAGGACCCACAGTCTCCCTCTCACTGAGTTCTGTTGCCCATATCAGCCCCTGACATCCAATGCTTCTTCCCTGTCTATCTGCCCTGGTGAAGTGGGCTTAGAAGCCTTCCATGCCAGCCAGAGCTGTTGAATCTGCTCCCTCCCCTGCTTACATAAGCAGCCTCCCCACCCCCTTGACCTGTCTTTAGACCACAGTTTCTGACCCTAACGCCTAGAGTTGGTAAATCTTTGTTCTTCATGATGACTGGGAGGTAGAAAGAACACCAGCTGTGTGCCCCAAAGACCTGGGTTTGCATCTTGATCTCACCCCTTTTCTACCTGTATCAACTTAAGCAAGTTGTCCAGTCTCCCCGAGCAATGCTTTCTTCACTTACTAAATAGAAATAGCAATGTCCACTTTGTTAGGAGGGATTTGTAAGATTAGATTAGAGATAGAACACTCAACAGATGTTAGAGAGGGGAATAACGGCCTGGCTCCAGATTGCATCTGGTCGATAACCTCCAGGGTCCTGACCCAGGAGAGTCTACAGTTCAGAGAGGAAAAGAGGAGACAGACCTGGGATCGAGGCTAAATCACTTTTCTTGCCTACCCTTTGCCTTCTATAGATCCCCTCTTACTACTATGGTATTTTCTGTTTTGCATTGCACAAGAAGAATTTACCTGGGGTGGTGGCTTTGGAGCCCTCCTTGTTCCTCCCATGGAAAGGCTGCAGTTGATCTTTTCCAGAAAGCTCGTTCTGCCCTGTGATCTGGCCCGTGGGGAGCGACCGCACACTGGCTGAGGGCCTCGGGAAACCATTCCAGGAAGCTCCCGAAGGAAATGGTGGATCTCACTGGATCTATGAGTGTAAGTTCTGCAGGACCTCTAGGAGGCTTGCCTGGCCAGTCTGGGCCAGAGGAAGAGCCTTGGATAGGGTTCAAGGAGGAGGGGCCCTGTGGAAGCAAGAAGGAGGCTCTGCGCTCTCCGGGGTGAATCCCATTTCTGACAGCTAACCCCAGGAGAAGCTGAACAATGCCATCTCTGCCTGGGCACTTGTGTAAAATGTTTATGCCATCCTGTGACTGTGAATGACAGTACTTTAGTCCCTTAAAACCTATATACAAGCAGGACATGAGGGGCAGATGGGACAGAGAGGAGGGCAGGAGGGGTTCATCGGTTGACTACGGGGATTTCTCAGAATCGTTTCTTACACTGTTTGGTACAGGCCAGTACTTTCCCAGATAATGTGTCTGTGTTTTCTATGTAAATAGGTCTTTTATCTACTACAGGGCTATAGTTTCAGCCCAGGCTGTAGCAGTTTATTCCTGGGTCAGAAACCCAGGTTGAAATTCACCAATAAAAAGATTTAATATCCAGGAAATTCCTGTGCATCTTTAGTTTTCTAGGGACAATGATAATGGGATGTGCAAGATAAAATTAAAGTGTGTTTGTCTTGAGTGAAGGGGTGAGGTGGTTGGGGGAAGGGACCACCCTGCATCCAGTTTAAGTGGGAAAAGCCGAGTGTCTTCGAATTTGCCATGGGACCACAAGGTGGCAGTGTGGAGCCAAAAGTGGGCCTCGCCTGGGCTGGGCTTGACTTGGCAGCCCCTGCCTAAGAATCAGGGTAAGGCCCTTTCTCTAGCCAAACATTGCTGAGATCCAGTGCACATTCTTTAACTCTCCTGGAGAATACGAAGCAGTAATGACTCACAGGGAAGGCCAGAAAAGTCACCCAGCCTCTTAGCTTGTGAGTCCTCAAGTTCCAAAGAGTCTTGGTCCCTCTCTTGACCCGGTTCTCCTGAGATAACTGGACATACACTTAGTTCTCTCTAAACCCACGGAGATTTGGCAAGGCAAAGAACAAGAGGTTTCTATTGCAAGGTGAGGAATGAGTATAGGAATTCCTGCCCAAAAAGCAGCAAGACATATTAGTCAGTGTTTGAGGGCCCTAGTAGGACCTCAAAAAGCCACATGAGCTATAGTTACTTTACGGATTCTGGTTTAGAATCTGGAGGCATGGGTTAGGAGGCCTCCTTGAGAGTGCCTCGGAGCCCAGCAATCTGTCCCAATTCCAGAAGCAAAGAAACCCACTGATGTTGAGCATAAAATACCTCCTCCCCCTAGTAGGTCTTGGTGGCTAATAAGATGCTCATGGAATTTTGCTGCAGTTCCCATGGTATGCATTTGGATGCTTGCTCCTTTAGAATGAGAATTCATTGAAGACAGGTCACATTTATTATGGTCTAGTGTGGTCTATATTCCTAGGTCATTGTTGGCATGTAATCCACCATCTAGTGGTTGTCAATAGCAAATCAGTTTTTCTGTGTCTTATTATCAGATAATTTTGGAAAAATCTTTGTCCAGTCCATGTTCTTGGAGAAACCCAGTGTGAAACAGTATAATTGTTCCTGGGAGGTACCAGTGACATATAACGTGGGAGAATGTGACTTCATTGAACTGGAAGCTATGCTCCTCAAAGGGTGGTTACTCATACAGGCGACTATTTGTACCGATTTAGATAGCACACCCTTGAAGCTCATGGAAATATGACAAACAAAAGGCCATTTTATTTCTAGGTGGCTTGCAATGACTTTGAGGATTAGTTCAGTTTGTTAGCTGGCCCCAATCATTAGCTTATTGGCTCAAACTCCTCAGGAGGTGACATCAGCCTTCCTCTGTACTTATGAGGGCATCTGAGCAGTCATGTGCACTATTGAAGTTCTAAGCTCTTGGTAGAGTCACATGTTTAAATCTACTGTTAAACAGCACTCTCCAAGAATGCCTTCACTTTATAAGCAATCAGGATGGGTTCTAATATTAACCTCCATGATATATTCACTATCGAATGTCATATTTCTGAAGCAGAGTTTATTATAGAGCTTAATCAGATGGTCTATAATCATTCTACAGCCTCTGGTCTCTGGTCCCCCTGACGTCACCTCCCTGTGCCAGAGTATCACAGCAGCCTCTGAGCCCAGATACAGACAGTTCTCCAGACAGTGCCACTCAGGGCTGCCCCTCAGGCATTTATTGAGAGCCTGCAGCAGGTCAGATCTGTTCCTTTACCTTCTGCTTTTTTCCCATCGGTTGATTTTCCACCCTTTTTTTGTAAACTGAGATCAGAAATCACCTCTTTCTGGGATGTTTTCTCTGATTAAGGCTGCCTGATTCTAGCATCCTATTCCCTGGATCTGTGAAAATACTGGTAGGCTCTTGTTTCATTGCTCTGTGTTCATTGTTACATGTTGTTTTGTACATGTTCTCTGGCTCTTTCCTGTCCACACAGTTAGGTCATAGATGCCTTGACCCCACCCAATCTTCTTTTTTGTTGATCTCTCTCTCAACACCCAAGGCCTGTCCCAGAATTCTGCGGAAAGCAGGCAGTCTGTTTACTCTCATCCCCTCTCCTGGTGGGAACTGTCTCAGCAGCGTCCCTGCAGTGTCTCTTGGGTGCATTGTAAATTGTCTATATCTCTTCAGTACACTTTTGAATTTTTTTTTTTTTTTTTTTTTTGAAACGGAGTCTTGCTCTGTCACCCAGGCTGAAGTACAATGGCACGTCTCGGCTCACTGCAACCTCCACCTCCCGGTTTAAGCTATTCTCTTGCCTCAGTCTCCCGAGTAGCTGGGATTATAGGCATACACCACCACAACCAGTTAATTTTTGTATTTTTAGTAGAGGCAGGGTTTCATCATGTTGACCAGGCTGGTCTCGAACTCCTGACCTGAAAAGATCCAACCACCTTGGCCTCCCAGAGTACTGGAATTACGGGGTGAGCCACTGCGCCTGGCATTTTTTTTTCCTTTTTTTTTCCTTTTTTTAGGAGATCAGGTAGGGTGCAATGGCTCATGCCTGTAATCCCAGTGCTTTGGGAGGCTGAGGTAGGAGAATCGCTTGAGGTCAGGAGTTCAAGAGCAGCCTGGGCAACATAGTGAGACCCTCTTTACAAAACAATTTTTAAAATTAGCTAGGCATCATGGCATGCACCTGTAGTCCCAGCTACTTGAGACGCTTTGGCAGGAGGATCATTTGAGCCCAGGAATTTGAGGTTACACTGAGTCATGATCATACTCCTGCACTCCAGTTTGAGTGACAGAGATCCTGTCTCTGAAAGTAAATAAATAGATAAATAATAAATAGAAGAAATCAATAAGAAGTAGAGTTTCACTTCTTGATGGGACAATGTTGCTGTTATTATTTTTGGTATTTATTCCTCATTCTACCTGTCTAATCAGTAGACTCTGTTGTGTCCCATTAAGAAAAGCTTTGTAAAGAGAGGAATGACAATGGTAACTAAAAGGTGAAGGGACAAATAAACCAGCAACATTTTCCAACCCAGAAACCCAAACCAGAATCATCCCCTTACATCAGCTTGGGGAAGAATACCTCAGGAGGAGGAAAGCCTGCCTGCCGCTCTCAGGGCCAGGGCTGAAAAGGTCATCCACAGCCAGCAAATGGAGAACAGTTCATAAATCTCAGATGTCTGAGACCTGAATGCCACTGGTCTTGGGTTTGAATTTGACTAGCAGTAAACCTAGGGTTTCAATTCTGGGGGCATGTTTGTTTAGCTATTATGAGCAAAATTTCTTTTTACTTCATGTCTTAATTAGCTGTTGGAGAAAAATACTCCTCTAGTCACTGGTTACTCATGTTATCAATTTTAAAGCATTTTAATTCTCTGTGGTTTTCTAGGGCTAGGATATCTGAAAAGGATGACAAATTTTTCTTCATTTCTAATTTTTTTTTTTTTTTTTTTTTGAGACAGTGTCTCGCTCTGTCACCCAGGCTGGAGTGCAGTGCCACGATCTTGGCTCACTGAAGCCTCCAACTCCCGGGTTCAAGTGATTCTTCTGCCTCAGCCTCCCGAGTAGGTGGGATTACAGGTGCCTGCCAGCAAGCCTAGCAAAGTTTTGTATTTTTAATAGAGACGGGTTTCACCATGTTGGCCAGTTTGGTTTCAAACTCCTGACCTCAAGTGATCCACCTGCTTCAGCCTCCCAAAGTGCTGGGATTACAGGCATGCAGCACCGTGCCTGGCTCCAATTTTTCATAGTTCTTGATTTTGTTAATTGTTTTATCACACTGATTAGAACGTCTGGAACAATGTTAGATAACAAAGGAAATGGCAGGCTTGTGGACATTCTTACTTTGTTTCTGACTTAATAGGACTGTGTCTAGGAGATTACAGTTAAATATCATGTAATCTCCTAATTTGAGATAAATCATTCTTAATTGAGTTAGGAAGTGTCCCTGTATTCCTAGTCGTTTTTTTTTTTTTAAAAAAAAAAAAAACAGGAATGAATCTTAAATTGTATTAGATTGAGCTTTGGGAGATTTTTCTTGGAATAAGAGATTATGATGCTGGTTGATATTTACCGGAATTCCATTTGTCCTCTTTGGCTTATAAGAAATAGCAGATTCAAAGGTTGATGGATGCTGGGCTTTGTAAATGCACTATTTAAAGTTCTGAGGGCCGAGAAGGATTACTCAACAAAACACGTCACTGAAAACGAGGAAAACTGCAGGGTTAGGCAACAGGAAAAGAAGAACTGGTGGTGGTTGCTATTTTATTTAAAACTTTTAAAGAAGTTGTTTATTGCCAATAATTAAAGAGCTCAAAGAGAAGTCATTTAACCATGAGATTGCCAAATAGAACTCTAAAACAGCTGATTAAACCTTTTTAAAATTTTCCCTGGGGAGAGACTTCACCACTGTCTCTGCTAATGGACTCCATGGTTCTCATACTTTACCTGAAAGTTCTTCCTAACATCTGATCTGAATCTTTCTTGCTGGGGCATAGGCCTGTTTTCATACCCAAGTCTTGTTTTTGGTTTTGAGGAATAAACAGCCTTTATTGGGTACAGACCAGGAGTCCAAGGGTCTTGAGGACCTCTGTGTGTTTGTCAGCTTTCTTCTCCACATTCTTTTTGGCCTGTTTCCATAGATTTGTGAGCCCTATGCCTTGTTTAAGGGGGGAAAATGGCATTTCCCTACAAATTAAATGTTTAAGAATCTGTAGAGAACTGGACCCCATTAAAAATATCTGGAATTCACATGGTCACTTGATTGTATTCCGCTGGCTCAGACAGAGCAGGGTTGACAAAATACCAGAAATCGGGCTTGTGGCTTTCTGGATTGACATTGACATAATCTGTGATTTCCTTTATGTTCTCATAGTCCAGGGCGGAGTCATTTTTTAGTTCTTCAGGGGCCGAAAAGATGACTTGTGTGTAATCCACATCCTCGGTGTCCTTAGGAGAAAAGCAGAGACATGTGGGTCAAGATCCCTACCACGTTTGGAGGAAATAAGACCCAGACTGAACTCTTACTCAAAGAGGTTTGCCCATGGCTTGGTGGGGAAGATCTGGGTCCAAGTAGCTGTGTCTGAGAGCAGTCCAGGGCAGCGAGGAAGAGTACCAGTGACTTTGTTCCACCTGTCTGCAGGGAATGGGATTACAGACGAGCACGTGGAGGCAACAGGAAGATGCTGAGACTCAATTCAAGTGAGATCAGGACTCAGAGCAGACTTTAGCCCAATGACTGGGGCATGGGGCAAGGGTTTCCCATCAGCACTTTCATTTTTATAGTCTGTTCAGACCCACTTTGTTTGGGTGATCCATGCTGATATGGGTTATGGGTAGAAGCCTGACTCCCCTCACCTGAAGATGCTGTAATGACTCAAGAACCCCTCTTTTCTTGCTCCCACTCTATAGCTGGGGTAACCTGAGTTTTCAGCGTTTTGCAGCAGGGACCCCCAGATGGCATATGTTGGTCTGAGATTACTGGGCACATCCATTACCTGGCAGGCGGGAGGCGAACTGCAGGAGCTGTCCGAGCTATCTGAGGATGTGTCGCTGCCATCTGGGGAGAAATAGAAACGGTTCCTCATCCAAAGCAAGCCAGAGGGTGTTAAGAGAGGATAGAGACAATGGAAGGGAGAATTGGCTTATTATCAGATAAAGACAGAGGCAGAGCCAGCAACACAAAGTGGGGTAGGGAAGAGAGATACAGAGACCACAAAAGAGGAAGAAGGAGAAACAGAATAGGGCAAGAGTTGGGGGAGAGAAAGTCTCCAAAAATAGGCACGGACATGTCCAAGAGGCCAGGCACTGCCGCTTCATTCAACTGCATCTAAAACTAATTTTTAAAAATACACTAGGTTGACTGTGCTTGGAAAGGGCTGTCTCCTAGAAAGAAAAGTCAGGAGGAACATGCTGGGACAATGTGGCCCAATGCAAACAGCCTTGGCCTCAGAAGTTACATCTTCTAGTCCAAAGCTGTCACTAAATCTAGGCAGATCACATCTCTTTTGGTGCCCTGGTTTTCATCCCCCTCAAGACAAGAGGGTTGAGCAAGAGTCTCTGAGGTCCCTGCCAGATAAACAATCTCTGATTCTAGCCAGGCTCTGGTGAAGCTTTGGGGCCAGGGGTTAGGGTAAGGCCAGTGCCTCTCCAGTTCTGCTGAAACATGCATATAAGCAGCACCCGCAGGTCCCCACAGGCAGGCACTGAGGCCATGTCTCAACTGAAAAGATAAAATCAGGACAGAGCAAATTCAAACCAATCAAGAGATAAACCAGTGGAAGAAGTGCAATCTCCGGTGAGTGAGCCCCCATCCGGGAGTTGCCTTGTTGCCAAAGCAGTCATTTCCACTGTGAATCGTGACCTATTGGCTCACTTGCAGGAGGGTGATGTAGATTTGAACCAGCAGCAAGATTCGCATTTATACACTCAGATACCCATGCAGATCTAAGACCATGAAGAAGGGTCCCTCTAGAGACTGTGGAGGAGCCAACTAAGGAGCCAGTCAATAACACTGACATAGCAGCAGCCATGGTGGAGGCAGGCAGAGGCGGGTGAAATTCTAACTCCACTATTAGCTGATCATTCCGAAGAAAAGATGCCACAGCTTTACAAAGAGAAGAGCAGGGACATTTCCCAAG